GTTCATGGAGCTGCTATGCATGAATTGGGCTGGGGTAAGCATCCCATATTCCCAGGCTCAGCTGCCTCTAAGGTTGGCTCAGGTGTAAAGACGTGGAGCACTCCGGAGCACAGTCTGAAATGGTTGGCTCAGTGCTCTCTATACCTTCAGTGCTGTGCTCAGCAACATGGTGGAGACCCCTGAGAAAAGCAGATAGGACGTGTGCCCCTGGGGAGCAGCTGGTCCTATGGGCAAGGCCACCACCCAAACCAGGGTCTAGGGCAAAGGGGAGGGATGCCTAGCCCCCAATCTACTAAGGACTCACTGTGTGACTCTGAGCAAGTAGGCTCCCCTCTCTGGATCACGGTTACCCTATGGACCATGGAGGGGGGCTGGTCTGGGTTCAGGAGTTTCTGCAGTAAGGTCAGGAAGGGGAGGCAGCTTCTCTGATGCCCCAGACTGTTAAGCCACGAGGATGCACACACTGAAACGTTTAAGCATGAGTAACGGCTGGAGGCCTGGCTAACACGTCCCAGAGCTGGCAGAGCTGGCAGAGCTGGCTCCTGTGCAGGCTGGGAGCCGGCCCGGGCGTAGGCAGAAGCTGAGCAGGAGGAACCGATGGTCAACAGGACAGGCACTGTCCCTGGCTGGGCCCACCCATGCCACCTCCAGAATGTGGGCAAGCCATGCCACCAAGCCATCATGATGGCAGCCCCTAGAACTACCACTCTACATCTGGGGCAAATGTGGCTTCATTTGCCACCCCAGCTGTCGGGGTGGGGGGCTTTTTTGAAGGGTTTGGAGAGGTGGGGGGAACTTGCTGGAGGGGTGTAGGGAGGAACAAAAATCTAGAGTCCTCAGGGAGCTGTCTCTTCCCTGCTGGGGGGCCTGCTCTGGAAAAACCCACTGATGCTGGGGTGGGTGAGAACACCATGGCCTGTGTGCCCATAGAGTGACCTGAGGCGGTCCCTGCTTTCCTCTGAGCCTGTTTCCTCATCTGTAAAACAGGAATGTTTCCTGACTTTGCAGTGTTGCTATGTGCGAGCTGTGGGAGGACATGGTTAGCGCCCACCTCGGGGTGTCTCCGGAGATAAGAGCTCAGTGATCAGATGGCTCCATCCTCTCCCCTGTTTGGAGTTATGCATCCTCCTAAGAAGCAAGATAGGGCATAGAATCCTACCCCAGGGAGGATCCATGTTCAAAATTGTTCCTACAAATTCAGTTCATTCAAAAATCACTCACACAAATTCAGTAATAATGGTAACACAATTAAAAACCCACCCTAAGCCTGCACTTGGAGGAAGAGTCTTGACTCTAGAAGGCTCTAGAGAACTGGACATAAGCTAGGAGAGGGGGCATGTTGGACACAAGAGGGGAGCTGGATGGGGCCAAGGGTTGAGTGGGAGTTACAGCTCAGCACAGCACCCCCTGCCTGGTCTGTGTTCACTTCCTTCCCCCCAGGGTGCCACTGGGCCAGGTCTGTGAGGTAGGGGGCCTGGGGAGTGAGGCAGCAGACACCTGGCTCCTGGTCCCAGCCCCCTCTTCCAGGTCTGGGAGAGGGCTGTGTGCATGGTCTGTGCATACTCGCGTGTGCGCTGGCATCTGTGTGCGCCAGTATCTGTGCGCGCCAGTGAGTGTGTACGTCAGGGCTATTTCCAACTCCCCCTCCCCTGCCCGCCCCCTCCTGGGCAGCACGCCCAGTTCCCAGACGGAGCCTTTACACTTCCTCTGCAAGCTCCACACGTGCCTCACTCCCCTCCTGCCGTCGGTGCCAGCCGCCTGGCCCACCTGGCGTGGCCCACCCCCCAGGCCCCCGGGGACGAGCAGCACTAAAAGGCCCTTCTTGTCTTGCCTAGGCGGGCGGATGTTGGGAGGGGGGCTCAGTTATACTTGGTCCTGGAACAGCTTTTCTAGAATCTGGGTGGGCTGGCCCAAGGGCCCTGGCCCAGCACACACATGGGCACAAGAGGTTCAGAGTATGTCCCCAGCACCATCAGCCCCCCAAAACCATCTTCAGAGGCAGCAGGATCTGTCCTGGTTCAATTTTTTGCACCTGGTACTCTGCAGCCCTGTTCTAAGACACCCCCATAAGTTCAGAGCCCCCCAACCAGGTAACACACAAATTCTTCCTGCCAGGGAAGATTCTACCTGAATTCTACCTGAATCCCACTTCAATCCTCACATTCTGCCTTTCCAAGTCGGCTATGCCAGGCTGGGGAAAAGGCACAAGAACGCCTTTCTCTCCGTGCTCTATGTGCACTCTGACCATCCAGGTTTTATCCATGCTGTTCCCCCAGACTGGAAAGCCAACTCCTTTCTTTTCTGCTTGTCCTTTAAGCATCGGCTCAAATCCAGTCTCCCCCAATGCATGTCCCTCTGCTGAGGGCCTCCCATAGGGCCCAAAAGGAGCTGGACACCTTATATGTCATCCACATCAACACAGTGGCCCAAGCCCAGCCCCACAAGCAGGCTAGGGCTCCCTCAAAGCAGGGCTGGGGGCTCTTCCTGGGCAGTTGGGGTTCTCTGTGGGACGTAAAGCACTTATCTTCCTCTCTAGGGCCTCAGTTTCACTATCTCTACAACTGGAAAGGTGGTCCAGATGGCCTCCAAGGGTGCTTGACTCCCAGGCCTCATGACCTGAATGCTCTGGAATGCTGGTGGGTGCAGGGAGAGGGTGCCAGCCTGCCTCACTCTGGTACATGAGAACTTGAGGGCCTTTGGGCTGGGGGTGTCCAGGAGGAGAGGGAGTGATGCCTTCCTCAGGGAGGGGCTCCCCCCATTGCAGAGACCAGGACAGGGAGCTGGGCCAGGAATGGTGACAGACATGGGTTGTTGAATGGGATCTGCCTGGGAGGGGGAGAAGATACCAGCTCTCCCATCCCCTGCCTGTTTCCAAATTCTTCCCAAAGGCAGGGGTCAGATAAACGTTATAAAACCCCACAGGCACCAAGCCGCTCTCCTGCCCTAAAACCTTCGTTGGATCCCCACTGCCAACAGGGCATAGGCTGTGAGCTTCATTTTGCCATTTAAGGTTTCTGTGCCCCAGCCCAGTGGCTCTCCCTGGCCTGGGCTCAAAATATGCCTTCCAGCCAGGCTGCTGGCCTTCCTATCTCAACACCCCCTGCTTACACCCACATTAGTGTCTTTGCTCAGGCTGAGCCCCTGCCTAGAGTACTGACTCTTCCCATCCTCCAAGGCTAGGTTCAAGGACCACCCTCTGTCCTTCCATAGCTTGCCCCTGAGTTTTTCCATATTTCCCATACTTTTCATCTGGATCTTTGCAAACACAACTAGGAATTGCTGTTTGAGTTTTCATTTGTTTTTCTGCCTCCTGAATGAGCCCAAGTTCAGCCCATCCATTTCTGTGCGTCCCTCCTTGCCTAGCACAATGCCTGCAAGTTGTCGCTGCTAAGATATTTGAGACTGGCTCTCTTGAAGCCCAAGGAGATGAGGGTGTGGAATCTCTCTTCTGGCTGGAGGTTGGGGGCTGGATGACCTGAGCTCCTAAGTCACCTTGGATACTCCCTTCCCATTTCTCTAGAGGCCCAGCCCACCACCAAGGCCATGAGGTCTCAGGGGCTCGGGCCCCTGCAGATGGGAATAGGGAGCTTGGGGATCCAGCCCTGACTCACCCAGTGGGGGTAGGGGAGTCCTCCCTTGACTCATTTCCCTTCTGGGTCCCTCCTGATGCCCTCTCTTAGAGCTGGCTTTCCCATCTGATGGAGAGAAGGGTGTGGCTGGGCCCCTGGAAGGGACTCAGGCCCTTCCTCTGCCCAAAGTTGCTCTTGGGAATGATCCCGAAAGATGTAGGCTGAAGCACTGATTCATACAGGGGTAGTAATGACGGATGGGCCCTGAGGCCGCAGTTCATACGGCATAACTAGACCATGCCTTCAGTAAAGGAAGAATGCTGTAATGTTGGGATTTCTGGCACTGTGACAGAGAGGGGACATGTGCTAGCACCTCTCAGAGGGCAAACTCCCCTTCAGCCTCTGCTGGGGTCAGGCACCTCTGCTAGGGACAGGGAGGTGTGGCAGGGGCTTGCCCAGGGCTATCTGAGGGACAAGCCCCTACTGGGGCACAGGATATATGAGGGGCACCAGCCCTGCCTCTAGGAGGCTGAAGAATGGGTGGTAGGTGGGTGATCCTGTCTGTCACCAATCAGGCCCTCTCAGGTGAGAGGAGAGGAAATAGGAGTAGGGAGAGAAGTGCAGACGGCAGGAAAGGTGGTGGCAAAGAGGCCAGATGGACAGACAGATCCACGTGGAGGAGGGGAGCAGGAGCCGACTGCGGGGAGACTGCAGGAGGTGGAGACCGAGGTGTGTGTGGGGCCCTGCACAGGGTGGGGCAGGGTGGCTTCCTTCCCATTTCCCGCCTTGCACCACTCCCCATTCCTGGACCAGGGCATCTGAGGCTGGGGTACCCGCTTCTCACTGTCACTGGGTGCCCTTTGGACACCAATGTGGTCACCCCAAGCTTGCACGGCAAACAAAGCCTGGGTAGCATTGGGGTGGTCCCACTGGGTGTCTCAGACAATCCAAACAGGCAGAGCCACGCCCCAGGCAATCAGACGTTGGGCTCCCTGGCCACCTGAGCTGGACAACCTCCGATTACCGGAGCCCCATTACCCTAGGTCAAGGGTTCCAGCAGGGTCAAACTCCTGGAGACCCCGGCCTGGGGTGGAAGAAGGGCAGCCTCCTTGACTCCCAATCTGGGTGCCACTTCTGGCCCCTTCTGTCTCTTTTCCCTACCTGAGGAACCCCTCAGCTCTCGCCAGGCTGGGTCAGGGTTGAGGCCCCTCACTTACCTGCGGATGCGAGTCTGGTCAACACAGCCAAAGTCAAAGCCAGGGCCGGGGCCGGGGCCGGAGGGGGGGGCCGCGGGCCCCCTGGGGTGGAAGAAGGGCAGCCTCCTTGACTCCCAATCTGGGTGCCACTTCTGGCCCCTTCTGTCTCTTTTCCCTACCTGAGGAACCCCTCAGCTCTCGCCAGGCTGGGTCAGGGTTGAGGCCCCTCACTTACCTGCGGATGCGAGTCTGGTCAACACAGCCAAAGTCAAAGCCAGGGCCGGGGCCGGGGCCGGAGGTGGGGGCCGCGGGCCCGAGCGCATCGCGGCGGGCTGGGCGGCGGGACCTGCGAAGAGCCGAGCGAGCGGAGGGAGCTGAGTCGGGACAGCGGAGCCGACGGTTGGAGAGCGCGGCTGGCTCCCGGGGCGTGGGCTGGGGCTCCGGCGCCCTCCGTACTTAACTCCGGGGGCGGGGCGGGCTCCCCGCTCGGGTTTCAGGCCCGATCCCCCCTCCGCCCCCACCCTCAACCTTCTTAAAGGGCCCGTGCTGGGCTGCTCCTCCCCCGGGGAAGGAATGAGGGGACGCCTACAGCTCAGTCATACCCAGGCCTCAACCGTGGAGATTGGAGACAAAGTTCCAGAGGGACCCAGACCCCGTCAGCTCTGACCCCAGCATCCCTGGAGACGCCCTCTGGGAGGAGGCATGAGCTGGGCCAGGCCCCTCACCTCTCTCCTTTCTGCCCTTGTGGGGCTTGGGGGAGGCCCCCTCCCCCCACACGCACTCCCGGCTTAGGAGAAAGGACAAATGCCCACCACCTCCACCAAGAGCTGCTTTTAGGCAGCTTTGCCTCCGAGGCCTCGGGACTACGTTCCTGCAGAGGGGCACCAGCCCAAGGTTCTGCAGGGCTCTGCCCACTGGCATTGCGACCTTGACCTCTGCCCAAAAGGGCCTCAGTCTGCCTGTCTATAAAGGAGAGATGTCTGGACTCCCCAACAGGACAGAAGAATTCACAATTCCACCATATCATTTGCCTCAAAATACTCCTGCAGGGTAAGTGAGGACCACCCCCGCCCCTGTTTTATGGAGGAGGAAACCATGGCTCAGAGCTGGAAGTGATTTTCACCAGGTCCCAGGTGGAGACCAGGTTCCTGGCCATTTGGGGCCAGGAACTCAGGCCTCCTGACCCCTGAATCTAAGTGTTTCAACTTCCCCGGGGCTGCTTCCTGGAAATCTGGGCCTGGGTTTAGCTCTTACCTAACAGCTTCAGGCTGGGGCCCTTCTCCTGGCTCCCTCCCAGGCGACAACATCAGCCCAGTCTCAAACAGGAGGAGAAAGGGTGATATTATTGTAGAGCTTCCAGTGCTTGGAGGTTCTGCCTATTTTCTGTGAGCCCCAGTGTCAGTGTGTTGCCTGGCTTTGGTTGCTCTTTTGCACGGATGGATGGAAGAGAACCCCTGGAACGCTCCCCCTTTCCTCCATCCAAATCCCTCCATCACACCTGTCTGCTCCAGCCCACCTGAACCCCACCCCACCCCACCTTGCACCCTCTTCCCTTGACCAGGGACAGTCCCACAATATGTATAGCATTTCATAGTTTGCAGTAAAACAACCCCATTTTGCAGATGAAGAAACTGAGGCTAAGAGATTAAGGGACTTGAGTAAGTCTACACAGCTGCTAAGAGGTGGAGCCGGGTTTTGACCCCAAGCCCAGCGCTCATACCACAGCAGCATGATATGATGGTGCCAGGTCCATGTGATGGTTATGAGTACTGGTTTTTTTTTTATTTTTTAATTTACAAACAGCATAAATTTATCGCTGACAGTTATAGAGGCTGGCAAGTCCAAGGTCAAGGTGCCTGGTGTCTGGTAAGGGCCTGGTCTCTGCTTCCAAGATGGCATCTTGAGTGCTACATCTTCAGGGAGAAGGAACACTGTGTCCTCACATGGCAGAAAGGACGGAAGAGCATGAGTACTGGTCTTGAATCCTGACAGACCTGGCTTTATCTATTTATTTATTTAAACAGAAGTTTTCACATATTCATTATGGAATCAATCTACTTGTGCAGAGCATAGAAACAAAGAATTTCCCCAATAAAACATGTCCAAATGTCCAGAGTTTCAGCTTGATAACCGTAAGATGATAGTGACATTGATCAATTGGTAAATAGGTGTGCCATCTCAGGGGCAATTTTTTTTTTCCTTTTTGTCTTTTTTACTGACCGGCAACGGGATCGCAACCCTCAGTGTTGTAGGTGTGCCATCTCAGGGGCAATTTTTTTTTTCCTTTTTGTCTTTTTTACTGACCGGTAACGGGATCGCAATCCTCGGTGT